CTGCATGCACGAGTGCTGAGCAGGTGAGTGCAACGGTTGGACGTTCGTTAGCATTGCTAACGCCAGAAGACTTGATCACAAACGTTTGTGAAGTACTGGAATTATGTAGTCATCCAGTGCTGCTTAAGCTACGAAATGCACATCGTCGTCGCTTAAAACTTGGATATTCAAGTGTTGACAATGGTTTTAACACGGCTGAAGCTTCACCTGAACATCCCATGATAACGAAACCATTTAATGCATCACCACCAATGACTGTCACTGATCTTGATTCGGGAAAGGTCTTTCAAATTTCAATCTCGGGAAATATGTTACTGCCGACTGTATGAATGTTATTGTATTGATCAATACTATTGTCACCACGTACCAATAAATATAATATTTTAGTCAATTTTTTTTAAGAAACTACGGTTGATTTGAATTTTTCAAATGTGGTAGTATACCCAAGCGTATCTCATGTTGCCGCGAACTGCGCTTTTCGCATGTTCGAAGAAAAGCTGATGACCTTCATTATATACGTTAGAGAGAGTTTAGATACCGTGGTAGCTTAGTGCGTTGAATACCGATACGTCGATGTAGCGCTACTTGTTAAATTTACAATAGCATTCTTCTTAGTGTGCGAACGTGACAGTTTAGTAAACACGAGAGGTACGAGATAATCTGCAACGGCTACTGCAATGCAGCACGACGAATATATATCAAAATTAGACATCTTGTTATAAGAACACTGAAGCTGCGTGTCTGGACGATTTGTTTATTGACAGGACTAGGATGACCTGACCAAAAAAATGCGTCCACCCACACCTGCGGAAGTGTGTGATTGTGCTATTGAGGCTGGCGAGAAGAAAGGCTCGCTAGTATATCTCAATACCGATGTTAAGACCGAGCGGATACTCAGGCATCGACGACTGGATCATGCATCGCATGACACAGTGAACAAGATGATCTGAGGCGGACAAGTTGGTGATACAGAGTCAATGTCAGGAAATATATATGTGAGATGTGTAAATATGCAAGCCGTTTGTCATATGTAAGGAGTAATCGGAGTCGAGAGATTGCGCGCTAAGATACTATGGTAAGTGCTCGCGTCTGAAATCATCAGCTCGATCATTCAAGTCTACGAAGCGACTTCCTTTACGATACAGACCCGCTATGCGAGTCGTTTTGCTCCACAACATAAGCGAGGTCTCAATGCGGATTGATAAAGCTCGATGACAATAATCGGCTTTATAAAACGCTGATCTGAAGCCACTATCGATAATAGTAGTTGGTACTTCATGTACGAGTCCCCGGTGCCATAAACCCAAAAGAAGACGGAATATTTGGGCCAATAGAGCAGACGCTCGAACGGTGACTGCTCACGAGTAAATGCGTGGACTTATTGGCGCAGGGCGTTGATGAACACGGCCAACTGAAATATATTGGTAACCATAATACATTTTCCCATATACCCGCTCGAAGCGCTGTTTGAGAGAATCCGCATATAAAGTAAATGCAAGTGTTTAAAGTTTTAGTGGTACCTCACCTGCGAAGGGGAGCACAAAAGATGAACGATGGCAGGACAAAAAGCTTTCTGCTGGAATACGTGGCGTATTCGCTTCCAGTTCTTGTAATTGATTAGTCGTAATGTGACGGTCGCTGAGCGTAAATGAAATGCAGGGCCTGCAAGGTACTCTTTACATTACCAAAATACAGACTAGGATGTTAGATTTTCAGAAGAAATGTGTATTTGACATCAGCAAATTAACACCATCATCTGTCAGATAAATCAGCGTCAAATTCTTCCAAAGCATGTGTAAGAAGATATTTTGTGTATGCAAGCAGCCAAGACTTTATGCTCAATGAGCAAGAAAGTGCGTCGTATTAAATTGAGTCTAGACGACCATGAAGGTAATCATAGGCCGCAACTCTCTATGCCCGCGGCTGTAGATGATGACGGTAATGTCCGGCCTTGTTCGATGAAGCGGAAACAACCAAGCTCAGCGATCAATGATCTAAAAGGAATCTCTTCACATATGTGATCTTGTTCATACACTTTATATAGGAAAACAGTCGGCTGCACGTGACTTAATCATATGAAACGCTAATCAAGTGGAAACGTCATCAAGTTCAGTCGTCTTTTGAAAAAGGAAAAATACAGCGCCTCTCGGAGGTCTGCACCTCTTACGCATAAGGAACCATTAACACCAGCTTAAAAATACTACTTTTATAGATCAGGAGGCTGAGAATATCGACATGGATACGGAACTTTGTTTTGCAGAGGTTTATCAGAGATTTCCTCCACAAATCTGAGTATCAGATCCGTATAATGAAGAGATTTATGGTACACACCTTATCGAACCATGAAAGAAACCATGGTCAGCATGTATAAGCAACAAAGAGAAAAAATCTCCGCTGACTGATGCATACAGTTAGATCTGCCGGACAAAAGAACAGCACACTATTGTCGTTTTCTTTGCGATTAGCCTTCCAACTCGAACAAAGTTTATAGCGCTGAGCTCAATAGTATACTCTGCTCTAAATTTAGCAACATGGCTCCTGTTGTGGTGAAGTTCGGTCGGTCCTGGGACTGACGTCGTTTGCATACATAGTAACAAGTAATTTGTATGAGCCAAAATCTGCAGATTATTGCTGATAAAAATGCTAGTCAACGGAATGGCAACACATATTGCGAGCTCGTTGGCGCTTCAATAGACATCACAACGTACACACGACCAGATTTGTGATCGCTTTTGATGAATTACTTAAGTATTGTATGCGCGACAACAAGTCGCGCTCGACGATAGCGAAGCGTATACTTATGTTTCGCGGGACTTCCGAGCTTCGATCATCGCACCCAGCAATATTCTTATTAATAATTTTGGACAATCTCATGCGCTGCACCGAAGCTATCGCAACATTATTTCCGCGCCAGAACGCTTGTAATTCCAGATGAGATCGTTATTTAACAAAGCCCTACTGGGATAGACATTCATGGCACGTCAGTTTTTTCCTAGCTTGTGGCGCTCAAGTCGCGTCATTTTCAGAAAGAGATGGTAATTCAAATCTAAGTCTTGAACCGACAGCGTTCTACGCTGTCAACCTTTTAATAAAGACGAAAGAAGTTTGGTGACACGTTGACCAGTACCCTTGTCACAAGATACACTAGAAATTGCTTTCTATAAATAGCCTCTAATACTGTCTACATTTTTACAGTCGCGTGTTGTACAGTATTGTGAGATGGTTCTGAATTTATTTCGGCCTCACAAAGCATGTTGATGTCGACAAACAATCGCCCTCATATGTGGGTTTCACCTCGATAGAAGAGAGTCCCTATCAACCTCGGCTTTTAGTGCTACCAATCAATACCCAATATAATAGGACGTCCATATTGTGCCGATTGAAACTTGATACATACCAGTAAATAGTTTGATGTTTGACTCTGCGCGGATGTCCGATCCTTCGTACCTCAAAGTCGATAACGAATGATATTTTAGGTATTTTTACCGATAAACGATGCGCGAGTTCCGTAGCACTGTCGAGTGGCTAAATATGTCTATTGCTTTCCCCGCATGGCCGAGGCTCATCGCCTCTGGCGAGCATGGAAGTCGTACTCCACTCCCAGTGACACGCACCGTTTTTGAATGGAATACAGTGGAAACCAAATGTTTCGATGTGAGTTGAACGTGCTTGAACGCCCCACCCAAAGATGGTAATTACTCTCCTTTAAAGCGTGAATGTGTCGCCATCATGACAACGCTTTCAACTTTTGGACAAAGATCGCCAGGTCCCGCCATCTTAGCCACGCATTAATCTTTCATATAGCGCAAAATACTTATACGTAGGCGGATCAAACACCTTCGACATCAGCCGCCCGAAATCTTCCCACGTTAACAATATCGTTCCACTGAGGTACTGTCTTAAGTGTTTATTCTTGCAGGTGGTCTTCGATTTGACGAATCGCTAGCGCGACGGGCCGCTCTCCGTCCGAAGAGAGCTGGATTCTTAATAAAAGTGAGATCACGAGAAATGAAGAGAGAAGAGGAGAGTAATTCTTGCATATGTGCCTGGTTGCGACGTCCCTGGCGGCGTTCTACAAGTAATATTTCAGCTAATGAGAGACTCAAGGTGAGAAATGACCACTGCCACCTCTTCGGCCGCCAACTGTACTATCTCCTTGGAGCCAGCTAAAGACAGACAATGATTAAGTGTGTCTTGTTGTCCCAAGCACAGTTTCCTGAGCTGCTCGTGCTTCGTGCTCACAGAGGATAGAGTATTATTATTTAACCCGGTTGTCAAATTGAAGACAAGATCCACCAGGAGCAGCTGGACCTCGCAAAGAACGATCACTGACTCTATGAACATGCGTTATCAATCTCGCTCAGGATGAGATCGTACGCTACACCTAGGAGCTGACACAAGGAAATTTCAAATTCAAAATTATCTTCAACTTATTTGAACCCTTGATATATCTGTTGGCAGCCTACTTGTTCACATGGACCTTTCCATACTTACATTTAGAGCTGTAAGCTCAAGGGAGTCATGGGACATATAATGATTTGTGTGCTTACAAAACAGGCTCGAGGGTTCTCATCTAGACAGACAGATTATATTCGATCAACTGATCGCACATATGGTATAAAGCGATGCCCAGCTGGAGATACGATTTTTTGGGTCTTAAATTGTAATTTTCTTAAGCCAAACAAGAATTTTCAAACAAAAAAACAACATTTTTTTCACCATTTCTAGCAAACGATTGGCCCCTTTATACTGCAATATAAGATTATCCAATTAGATATATTGTCCAATAGAGTTAGCACAACACTTGGTGTTGCGACTGACTTCTTAATCAAGCATTTATCAAGGCCGATGGAGCGTCATCATTTAAGTCATGTGGCTATTGTGGCAGTGTTCATCTTGATGACGTTCCAAGCTTCTTCGTACGAAATGTTTAAGTTAAAAGTTCCGAATGGAGGCAACGTTCCAGGCGCAAACGCTATTGGTCACGACCGTGTGGGTGGTGGACCCAAAAATGACTTTGGGCTGGACTTCAGTGAGGCCATGTTTATCTGGACCAATTCGTTTTGCAACAAGGACTCGGATGGAGATGGTCAGACCAATGGTCAGGAGCTAGGAGATCCATGCTGTGAATTTGTCTTTAGAAAGAATGCTATTGTGCGCTGGACCGAAGGGGTATCCCATCCTGGAGATGCTACGTTGATGTCAGACCCAAAGCTTTGGGAAGGTATAGTCTGTGAAACTCAAACAAATAAGTCAACGGTTGTTACACTTACAAATACTATCGACTCTGAGCATAAAAGCACAAAAGCTGGAGCAGTAGAGGAAGAAATTGCGGAACCAGAAGCTGCAAAGAAGCATGTTGAATCAGTGCAGGACGATATTCATGTTCAAACTAAAGATTTGACAGCTGGAGTACCGACAATGCATAGATCTGTAATACTCTCGGTTGTCATGCTCACAGTTATGGCGATCTACTTCTTAGTGACGCGGGCTGGTCGACGCTCACGTAACTTGCCGATTTTCCGTCGGCAGCGCAAAGGGCACATTTAAATGTTATACCACGATAAAGATTTTGTGTATTGATGTGTATTGAATTTATATTTTTGAGCCCAAGCAATTGCTGTGACTTTCTGAGAAGATAATGGATCAGATGTGTCAAGCAAGAGTTGTACGTCAAGTCAGAATCAAAGCTTGATTACTGGCAGTGTAAATCAAAATGATTTCTTTTGAGTTTCTACACTTAAAGACACGTACTTGTGGTCTAGGGCGAACAAAGTAATACATTTGTCGCAGCTTTCGTTGTATACACAGAAGTACAGAGTAGTTGTTACCCACATAGAGATGGATGGTGCATATTGCGGTGGGGTTCGCAAGAAATACACACAAGGAACTGTACATGAAACTGGCCACTTGTTCATATGGCTAGATTCCATAGCTTTGGTAATTTTTGGACTACGAACACAAGGTAGGTGAGAAAACGAAATCATTTGTCACATTTCCTCTTGGACTGTACAGTGGTATGTTTACTGTTCTCATCGGTTCCGAAATTCTTCAAAGTGAATATTCCACGCATTTGGTTCATAAGTATCCGATAATAGTCCGTACATTTAGTCTGATTTATCTTATCTTCTATTCACTAATAGTCAACAACGTAGCAATTCACGGCTCAGTTATTACGCGACTTTCCAACGAGTACAAAAACCGCTACCACACGCCTGTCAAAGCTTCTCTGTGCCCAGCACTTTTGTCGATCTGCATTTATAAGCATATGTACCTGTACCTAAGAATGTAAAAGAAGGTCGAACGACAAAGACGAGCTACGTGACCAGCTGGCAGGTTAAGACTCGAAGACAGAGATTCTACATATTAAGCACGCTGAAGATCTAATCGCTTTTGTTAAAGAACGCAAAGTGTACTGTATTACTTCCTGTCAACAAGGTTTGACACCCATCGTCACAGCCACCAGGCTTCAATTTGCAGTCTTTGGTAAGTAAGCCGGCGCTACAAGTCTTTGTTATCTTCCTCTCTAGTCGGACAATATTATTTTGACGTCCAATCATTCATTTTAAAGGACCATGTACAGCGTTCCCAAGATTGTAAGCGAAATGATTCCGCAGCCACCTCCATCCAGATCGGACTTCTCCACATTCGACTCTCCACTTGATTTTACAATGAGTAGCACGTCATTTGACGGTCACGATGGACGCTTCGTAGCTGGAGAACAATTTTACAATCACGAAATGTACGGCAGTCTACGCAAAGGTGGAGCTGTGGATTTCTTGTCAATTGAGTGTCTTGGTCTCGTAGCTGCGACGTTTACGTCTTTGCTGTCGTATGAGGGGCTCATCGCATTAGTGCGACCTATGTACAACACGCAATTGGGTCTTACGACATTAGAAATCGTCGCAGTCGAGCGGCTGATTCAAATGCCCATGGCATTAAGTTTTGTCATCGGTCTACTGTCCGACTGCTATCCAATTAAGGGGGTACGTCGTAAGGGGTACACAATCATTGGCTGCATTATAAACGCTGTTGCAGTCTTCTCCATCGCTGCTATAAGTGCCTCATTAAATGATGACTCGGTTGCAAGCAACGAAATTGTAGTACTCACTCTGTTACTTGTTGCATTGGCCAGTATTGGCTGCATTATGACCTACGTTTGTGTCCAAACGCGCGTAATGGAATATTCACAACGTGAATCTTTACGTGATCGTGGTGCCATTCAAGTGTCGTACTTGGTTTTTCGTCGTTTTGTATCGATTTTTACATCCGTGCTCTTATATCTGGCTTTAGGCCCTAATTCCAAATTGGGGATCTCGATTTCCACGGCCATGATCATTTTAGGCGTGATCTCGATCCTACCACTTCCATTAATTTTTCGATACTGGACTGAAGAAGTGTATTTGCTTAAGATATCAGTGAGAAGTCGCAGTCTGATTTTATGGAAAATCATGCAGCAAAAAGCTGTATGGCGTATTCTAGCATTTATCTGCTTCTTTACCCTTTTTTTAGGGATTGAGTTTAGAGACTCGATAAATGTCATTAGAGAATGGGCAAAGGCTAATGGTGACAACTCACTGCTTATCGCAGTAATTCGAGACGTTGTCATGATTGGAGTTTTATTATTATGGCGCTATGTGTTTCTTAATCGACTGTGGCCAGTTTTCTTTGCTTTAGCACCAGCATTTTTGATCCTACCCAACCTTCTTTTATCTCTAATGGTGGCGCTTGATGTGGCACGCAATCGCTACTTTTATCGTGTCTTCAATTCTCTCACGTATGTTGCTGATGGTATTGGTCTATTGGCTTTCATCGTTCCAGTTACAGAAATTGTGCAGGAGGGTTCCGAAGGTGCTCTAGTTGGACTTGTATTTACGCTACAGCGTTGCGTCAATATATTTATCGACACAAATGCTGAAGGTTTGTTTCAAGGGTCCAATTTTTTCAAAGCGAGTGAAGTGGCTGCTGATACGTCAGCTGCACGCTGGGACGTATTACTATCGTTGTTTCTGAGTTTTGCACTTAATGCTTTAGCGTGGGCTGGACTATTCTTTCTACCCTCGCAAAAACTCGATGCACAGCAATTGCGCATGTATGGAGGCTTTACAAAGATCGCTGGTGGCGCAATTCTCGCTGTTTGTCTTGTGCTCTTTACTTACTCCTTCGTCATTACGTTGATGTCGCTCATTTCGTCCACATCATGTTTGAAACTTGTTGGTGGCTCTGGCTGTTGACATATAGTATTTATAAAATAGAGTTTGTCGGATTGTAAATATCACACACAAAGAACGTTTCGTAAGGCGATAATATTTTGGCGATATATAAAATAGTATAATGGCTACGAACATAGTATAACAAATACTACTAGATCGCATTAAAGTCACAATCATATCGAGAAAATATCAGATAAGTATGGGATTATCTTGCATATCACAAAATTTTTGTCTGCCAACAAATTTTAGTATTCGAATCCGTATAATTCACGTCCCATTCACTGTCAAACAAAGGGTAAGAACTGAATACATTCACTGAGCCGGGGTTTGGATCTCGTGAGACAGGAGGTGTCCATTGACGTAATATATTGTAAGATTGCACAGGCGAAGCACACGAAATGAAGTCTCTGTCAGCAAGTAGTAGATTAAATTTCGTATTTTGTATTGATAGCAAAGCAAATATAATCGAAAGGTATAAACTCACAGTCCAAGAATGTAGTCGATCGACAAATGTATGCTGAAGATGAGTGGCATGTCTGAAGAAGCGTCGCAATAGTCGCGATGGAGGTAAGCAATGACGTACTACTGAAATCGAGAAGAGTGGTGTGAGCATATTCTACTTGAGCATAGATGTTATTAACTAATACGGTAATTGCTAGATAGGTGCACGAGTTTCGTAACGATACTTGGACGACAAGACAAGATAGATTAGTAAAAGCCGGACTGAAGCACTAAAGCGTATGTAACGAGTATACGAAGTGATGGCAGCCACTTAATACTCTCACATATTTGTAGCTTTAGTATCAAGTAAAAACAAGCGAACAGCTTTGAAGCACCGAAAGCGATGTTATGGAGATGTGACTGACAGTGCTGGAGGTGTTATCGTTTCATCCGAAGCAGCTCGAAGCACAGTAATGCAAGGAATCAAAGTTACCATCATGTGCGAGCATTGATAGCATCAGATGGAAAGAAAGTAAATATTGAGATTCAGTCCGGAGTAGCTGAATGTAATCAACTCAAGACTCCATAGAGCACACTCAATCAAATGCGTGGAAATAGTAGCCAACAAATGGCAAAAGTACCCGCATTAAGCCACTGAATACGATTTTACATTTACAAAAACATTCTAGCATCCAGCTAAGTCATTGTCTGCATAGCCCACCACATTTAGTTCATTGAAGCTTCAAAACAAGTGTTTTGGTTAAGGTACATGTACAGAGGATTGACTAAAAAGCAGCTTTCGAAATGGTCATGTCTATAGATGACCTTACCATCAGATCGAGATATCACTGACGTTCATGGTCACGACGTAAAGATGAAAATGGAAATTGACACGTGTCGGATCTTGTAACGATTAAATCGGCGTGACCTAAAATATTCGAAAAATAGTGTTTGCATGATCATGTATCAAAATGTCTTTCGACAAAGGCGTCGTTCAGGAAGCAAAACAAAAACTAGACGTGCTTGTATGGGATGCTACTCTTTCGATACCAATTTTTAAAGTCTCGTAATTCAAGTCCAAAAAATCCAGCTTTCAAAAAGAGCTTATCTTCTTATCACCAGTAGAACTAACATATTCACTTTCACATTTCTTTGACGATCAGAAGAAATGTTTGGATTGACACATTAGCTTTGTGACGTTCACCTGGTATTAACAAAAATAGGACCTTGCGGCTGGCGTATTTAAATATTTTCTTGAAGGATCTAGTAGCTTACCGTTCTCGACCTGGATGACACTATGACAGCCATACAGCTGGTAGCATGGAAGTAACGTTCTCTATAGGATGAACATTTGTAAAAAATTGAGACTGGAATCCACTTCGTTCAAGATATTATAAGTGTATCAAAAAGTTCAAACCAGTTGTTTCTATACTACTTAAGCAGGTCTCGAATTGCATTAGATCCGTTACTCAATTCTAATTCCAACGAAATCCGACTTTATTGGCATTTATTACGAGGTACTGAACTGTATCATATAGTTGTCACTTTCTATGACAAGTGCGTGGGCGTGGGTCTTATCGGACAGGCGATCGAACGTAATAACGCTAACGCGTAACGAGAGTAGTGAAAGGGCAGATCCTCAAACAAAGGCAATCCATATTGCTGAACTCAAAAGAGAAAGAAGTAAATAACGACATTCTGATCTTGCGATATCAGCAATTTCGTTTCTAGCTACATGGTTTGATGACTCGTAAGGTCAATTTCCACATGTTTTAATGCTGTTCTGTTGTAGCATAGGAGATCCCTTTAATTTGGTCTGAATTTTCAGCACAATATACGCGAGCAATACCGTATGTTAGTCCAGCCATTCATCCAGCTGATGACTATCAAGTTATCCAAGTTCGCATATAATATATAAAGGAGACATCTCAGCACACATTATGACATTAATCAACTTGCTGCGATCCCAAAGGTTTGAGTTGAAAACGGACGAGATACTGATCATCGATTTGGCTGGACATCTCCGTCGCACACCAATTCGGACATCAAACCTCATGGATTTTAAACATCTACAATCTCCGTCGTTTGAGACCCGAAACGAGGAAGTTCGATCACTTCAGGCAGTCTCAGTCATCCGTGATGCCGAACGTTCGATTAATAGCTGCGAATTGAATCATCCGAATTTTAATGGTGACGTCTATGCTAGTCTACGCAAGGGTGGTGCTGTCAACTTCTTCTCGCGTTACTGTATCGGTCTCGTTGCAGCTACCTTCTCATCCACCTTTTCAGTCGGATGTCTTTACAGCGCCATTCAGCCTATGCTACAAAGACACGTTAACTTTACTACAAATCAAATCGCAGCCTCGGAACGGTTGACGTCAATGCCTTTGATTTTAAGCTTCGTCTTTGGTCTCCTCTCAGATTGCTACCCAATCATGGGTTCTCGTCGCAAAGGGTACACTCTCGTTGGTCTGGTAACGGCTGTCGTGAGTATCTGGATTTTAGCTGCTTTAAACGCTTACGCTGCATCATATGAGACTGGAAAGGCTGGTGTAGGCATCGCTGTTCTTGTTATTTTGTTTGGAGCGCTCACTAGTTTGGGAAATATCCTGATGTACGTAAGTACCCATACACGTGTGATCGAGCTTGCTCAGCGTGAACCACTTGGTTTGCGGGGTTCAATCCTGGCAACGTATTTGATTTTTCGATGTATCGTATACATCATCACGGATCTCTGCATTCACTTCTCGCGGGTATCAGCGACTGCTAATTCAGCCCATCAAACGACAACGTTGATTGTCTTTGGTGTCATCATTGCATTGCCAATGCCTTTGATTATTCATTATTGGGATGAAAAGTGCTACTCCTTGTCGACATCGGTAAAATGCCGCAGTCAAATTCTATGGAAGATTATGCAGCAAAAAGCCTCGTGGAGTATCCTCTTGTTTCTGTGCTTTTTCACATTATTCAATCAGATTTCATTTAGTGGCCCTGTTCTGGTCATTAGCGTCTGGGCTGGAGCAAATGAAGATAGTTTTCTCATGCAGCAATCAATGTACTATGGTGCAATGATCGTGACAATGTTTGTATGGCGTTCTTACTTTATGAATCGCTCGTGGCGTGCGTTTTACTTGGCTTGTCCCGTTTTACTCATTGTACCACAATTAATAGTTTCGATCCTCGTAAGTCAAGATATTGTTCGAAATCGAGTGTTCTACCGCATCATGACACTCTTCAGTAGCGTTTCTGCTGCGATTGGATGGCTTGGAAGTATCGTACCATTAACGGAGATTGTTCACGAAGGTTCAGAAGGAGCGATTGTTGGATTGTCATTGTCATTCTACTTTTTAGTAATGATCTTTGTACAAACCAATTCAGTCGGACTTTTTGAAGGTAGCAACTTTTACGACGTTAATGAAGTAGCAGCTGATACTCATGAAGGACGTCAAGGTGTTCTCAAATCATTAATGCTCAATTACGGGTTGAACGCTATGTCTATCATTGGACTCTATTTCCTACCACGCCAGAAACTCGATACACAGCAATTACGTTGTTATGGCGGGTATACCAAGTGTGCAAGCTCTGCTATTGTCACATTTGCTGTAATTCTCTTCATATATTCGTTTGTAGTGACAATTATGACTTTTATTCCAGAGAAAGCATGTCTGCGTCTTATCGGTGGTACAGGCTGTTAACCTTGGAATTGGATAACTCAGTGGAAGTAGCGTCGAACCAAAATAATTGCAATAGATCAAGATTTAGCCTGTATAGACATTTTATACGACAAGAATTTTATAATTGTGCCAACTTTCGAATTCTTCTTTTCATTCTTCAATTTAAATATGTACGCAAAGATTTACCTATCTCTTTGAGTCTGTGATAGCCAGCGCTTGCTTCATGCCACGGCATTATCAAATTTACAAAGTAGTTTCGAGAATCTAAGACTCAAGAAGGAGCTCCGGCCCATATGCAGAAATGTGGTGGACCACTCAGTATTTCAAAGCAGCAAAGAAATTGGGCAGTCTTTCAATGTGATTCAGAAATGCTCGTGTCGATTGTAAAGTTCATTAACGCAGTATAACAGCGACGCAACTTGGTAATCGAATGGTCATTTTTTATCGCGCGATTAAATGTATCAAGATATTTGACCTGCTTATAATATTAAACTTCATAAACATCAAAATATTTATATAGTATAGTAAGACAAAATAGCTTTCTGTAACATCATTGATGCCTAAATTATGTTTAGAAGTTAATTCTATGATTCTTTGCGTTAATCCGCTGATTCATCTAATTTGCAACGCGTAATATTACAACGTTGTGACATCGACACCATCAGGCCTTTAGGGATTCGACTCTCTCGCTCTGCGATAAATTTGCCGCTTGCACAGAAAAAGTTTCAAATTAAAAAGGCCATGTTAACAAGCGCACTGAGGTTGGGCACGTATACTTTACCTAGGAACGGACCATCGCTATTCAAGAGTGCCACATTTTAACATTATTTCTATGTAGAATTATATATCATCGTTATTGCTTGACATAAGGCTAATAGCATGCGTGTACCACGGACGTCTCCTTTACGAACTCCCATCATCTTCATACGCACCAATAGCTTGGCACTCCTGACCCCATTATTACTCAAAAGGGAGACTATTATTAATACATTTGTACACTTGGGTATCTGGAGGAAGCTATGGACGTGTAAGGTACACTTACATTGTCGTAAGTTCGTATCCAGCGCCATCTGTCCCAGCGAGACGGAGCTCACACTAAATCTCCCGCTTATTTTTTCTCCCAAGACGTTTTGCAAAGTGAGCGATCAACGAACACCCACTGTGTTTGTGTTTCACTCCGCTCTTCGAACGCTTGAGTCTCTGCTCCAACTGGCATACACGTGTCGGAAGGTATATCCTATATGACTCGCCAAAACTTCGAGAAAGGCGCGACCTCCGCGATAGACGCCCTTAGAGCTACAATTTATGATAAACCATAAAGTTCCCCAATTATAGCACGCACGGCGACTCTCTGAGTCCCAACTCGGTACCAATGCCCTCACCGGTAGACAAACGGCTGATCATTTTACGAATGAGGTGTTGCTCACTGTTCTCCATCTTTCTCTGCACGTGTTATAAACTCCGTGCCCTCTCCTGTTGGTGGGTACCCCAACGTGGAGCTCCACGTCAGACACAGCTCGTCCATCTGCAAACGATGAATGAAATCAATTCTTGCCAAAGCATTACGTCGTCATATGTTATCACCGTCAGATGGCGCCTGCTGCGCTGAAGGTGAGCTTATAAAGTTCGTGCGGACTTTTCGCTTGTGCCAAGAGAAAAAAGTGCTTCCGGATACATTGACACCCTCCATGGGAACCACAAATTGCTGGCGAAGGTGCCGAAATGTATCGTGCTCGATCTACATCTTAATGGGAAAGTTCCGTTGCACCCTTCCCGCATTACAGCTTTACAAACCAACGCATTGAAGATGACGTCTGACTAGATTGTAATTTCGTGGTTGATGCTGTGTAACATACAGTAAGGTTTGAATTTTAAGGTGGAAGGTCAGCGATACAACTTTACAGCTCCGCATGTGTTAATGAAGCTAGTTCTACAGCGACCTAAACTGACAACATAATAGAACGCAACTTACTAGTGGAATAAGCGCTATGGCCTCGTCTTCGGTGGTAAAATGGTCGAGTTTGTGCTATGTTATAAGCGCAAAGGTGACAGAGATACCTATATCAACAGCCATCGCTTTATAACGCGAGGCTACCTCTTCCGCTTCATAAGATACTGGTTGCAGCCCTGGTGTATCAGCGGGTCCACCAGACATCCCTCGCAAAATTGACAGATACTTACGTGGTTTTCCACTCCGATTTCCCTTGCTCTGCACGACTATGTACACACATATTGTTGAATTTGCTTTATGCATATTCATGATGTGGCCTAAATAGCCACGTTATGAGACTAGCTTGTGTATTAGGCAATACACAAGCAAGACCTAATAGTCTAACAGGCCCCAAGCGCATCTCGCTCGAATACTCACCGCTGCAAGAGAGAAATCGCTGTTTGTGGTCAGCATTTGATAACAACCACACCAGTCAATGAACAGAGTCCAGCTGACATGTTGTTATATATAAATTATCTTGGAACTCTGTTGCTCTTAGCCTATTATGCATATCCCGATGCATCACTCGCCGTAAGCCTTAGTCGCACAGAAATGTTGCACAAAGTGGAATTGCCTTTTTTATTTCCCCTCGTTATGGCTTTACACGACAAGAAGCAAAAATGACGCCACTGATTATCACAGTAAGGGCCGCTGCCGCGGGACACTACCTTTGGTTCTAAAGGTATACCTTTAGGTAATCTCATAAAAAATTATCTGATCCGATGGCAACAAGCGTATTCGATATCTTGTCCTTAAGGCATGATAATTTCCAGCAAAGACTCAAAAGGACCTGGACAACTTTTGAGAATGTATACAACACTCCTTGCATTCAGTGATCTGCGATCGGAATGATTCATCACAGATGACGAGTTTGGCTCCTCCTCCTATCCCAATCGTGCGATCAGACATTTCCATTAACTATAGATCTAGCTCGATGAACACTCCTACCAAGGGAACTGAGGGGAGACTTACAATCCACTTGGATAACATCCGTCACTCCATCGTGATGGACCATTCTCGTCACAATACCATGGAGACTCACTACCCCCAAGGAGTACGCTTCAATAAGTACTTTTGATTCAGCAGTACTGTTACATCATGACAAGTATGGCCATCCTCAAAACGTTTTCAATCCTTTACCAGTTCTGGCACGGGAGACTGCGACACCCAATCCCTTCTAAACTCAATTAATTTGGATGCGAAAGACGCTGGACTTCAATTGAGAATAGCGATTCACCCAAAAAAAACTCTGCGGGCCACGACATAGAGCTGGTCATTCCAGTTTCAACAAAAACACTCTGTTATTTGCGATATACAATCGCTTTTCCTTTTTGGATTTTTAAATGCCGCGGCGTACTACCGCTTCATCCTTCTGAGTTCTGCTCCTGGTTGGTACTCATATCACAAATCAATTTCATTTTCGGCATTAAACATTAAAGCTGTTGTAGCTTCATGCCGCACTAAATATTTTTTTATTTACTGGCAGAGGGGTTAACATAACTCAATTTGTATTACTCGCACTAAACTTAAGAGAATGCAAGCGACATGTGTGCTTAACGAAGCCATACTACGACCGACCGATCTTATAAACTAATTGGATATGAAAAGCGCATTGTTACAGTCAAAACAGCATCTTCATCTTTTTTGTTGCTACGCTATCGTTAAATCTTAATCAGAGTCCGTTCCACTCCGAGAGCAGTGCGCGGCATCTAATTGATTTGACCACAACTCGATCCAGGACACGTGGTGATGTATATATCCGCGCCAAAGATAATAGTTTTTATCAAAGCCCAAAACGAGTCATGGTTCATGCTGTTTAAATTCTCAATTTCACTTTCAGATTCAACAGAGACTTATTTCTAGTGTCCCTGTTGTAAGGTGCACGGGTAATGAATCTGTATTTTTATTTTCAATGCCTCCGCGCACTGTTCACTTTTTCTGACAGTCGCGCTCGCACTTGCTTGTACATTTTTTATATAACTAAGCTTTGCAAGGGCTCACAAAGGCTAGCACTTCATCGATAGCAATAAGCAGTCCTGGATTGGGAGCGTCAAATCGTTGGAATGTAGTTTCTTCTATCAAGATACTGTCAACCACGACCTTGACGGGGTACAATAAAATTTAGCTTATTAGAGGACCACCTTGCGTCTAATACGACTGTGGAAAAATCGTCGAACGACCATGCACAGGAGCCCGATCCCTCGCATCTTTAACGGAAGGTGTTAGGGCTTGGTGATACTGCTGGTGAACATCTGCAACCAATATGATAATTTTCGTTCTTGTCTGCGCAGCCAAATTGCTTTGCCTCTGGTTCGTTCATCAAAACGTTTCTTCTGACACTCCATCCAGCCGTCTTGTCACGTCTTTAAGTGCAAAGCCTGCCGCTTAATAAATTTAGTTAATTTATGAGAAAGGATCCGGTGCGAGCTGCGGCTGTTTGAAAATCCCCATTACGGTAATTACTGTCAGCGCTTCCGAATAGAGTCTGACGTGATTGCGACGATAAGCGCTTGTAACTTTTGAGCATAGTTTGTTAGCTCCCCCACCTCAACGGATGCGGAGCGCACCCGACATCCTTGGCTAGACGGCATGAACCTACCCTTGCTTCAATCCTCAAATACTGGAGATGAATCTTCCTTCGCAGGCGACATCCTTGCAAGCGGACCACAAACGTGACGCAATGTTATTCTGTCTACAGCATGGACGATTTATAGCCATCTTACTTTTCTGACCCAGAGAGCAACTTTCTTCCTTAAAATATAAAGAGATGGACGCTCATTATCCGCGGACTCTGCATTAGTGTTATCAGTGCTCCCAACGACACCATATATAGGATGGTTTCTACAAAACGCCCCAATTGTGTAGTCTTATAGCTGGCGAGCGTCTCGGGTTGAGCGAGTGCCACCAATCGCGTGATCACTTTGGGATCAGCAACAAGCATAGTCTTGCCAAAAATGAAAAGCTGACCCGGTAGCCGGTAATAAACAACATGAGCTCCATCCTCACGTTTGATATACAACTTCACAACTCGAACTACAAATACTATCAAATGCTGAGGATCCGTGCACTATGAACAGATAAAGCTTCGACTCAAAAAGTCTACGCTACAAAGCGCACAGAGAGTGAATAATGCTTCGTTTGGGATCGTCCACGAGGAACTCACAGGAATGTCGCCGCTAAAGCAGCTATGCCAGTCCAGGTATGATTAGGTTGTAAACAAAATTCTACATAGACTTATACGATCTATATATTTTTGCTAATCCAATATAAAAAAGCTTCACTGAATGACGTAAGGATAACAGCCCAACTGCTTTAAGTCTTTTCATCTCTAAAAGAACCAAACTATACCCCCTACACCGATCTTAGCCCGTCGTGGCTTTCGTAACATATATTACGTCGCTTCTAGAGATTGTTCCCGATAAGACAAGTTAGAGCGGCCTTTTGCCGTCGCCTACTAGACAAGAGGCGGGAGAGGCAGAAGATCGTAAGGTGCGCTCGAAAGAGCCAGAATCTGATATCATCGAAAGTTCTTCATCCTTGTCACGATATAACGCTTATGATGCGTAACACGCTCATTGTGTTGAGAATCGAAAATGCATGGGCTTGTGGTGACTTGTGAATGAAGTGACCTGATGTAAGTCTCACTACCTCTTGTAAAACACTTATTGAGTCGGTGAATTGCATGTATAAGAAACTTGCAAGACACTAACTAACGAAGTAAGAAGAAACGAGCGCGTCGCTTGTCATTTAAAGTCCTCCATCGGGAGCATTGAATTCGTGGTGTGAATGGGGTACCCTCGTGGTTCATGCTGATTCTTTTTTTGTTGTTGGAAGGGTGGAGTGATGTTGCGACGCGATACTTGCCCGGATTGGGAAGTGTATCAAGAACTCAAGCTGTTTCCCGTATTAAACGTTACGCGACACGTCGACGGCCTTGACCAAGGGAGCAACTTGCCGTCGCAGAAGCTATTTATCATGCAAGGTATGAAGCATGTCGTGAGAGACATACTACTTGGCGCCGACAAAAAAGGCAAAGTAGAAAACAATTCGCATCATGTCTACCTATTCCGACAATATACGCATCCATAGCCGTGCAGATCACAGGGGATTTGAAAATAAACCTTTACATCAGACTCTTACAAGCAGTAAACTGATTGTCAACAGTGGTGGCTTATTATAAAATTCTAACCGCGGATATTCCATTTGCTGCAATTACACCAATGCCATCATACATTAACCAGTGCCTCTGTGGCTTAATTCGGCTTTCATTTGCATAAGTATCGTCCAATTATTAGCTGTTGTGGCTCGGCCCTCATCAATCTTCTTAAAGTTATATCAACTCGTGTAGGGTGTAGCAGATGAAGGCAGCTTTGAAAGTCTGTGAAAAAGTCAACATGTGCCTCATTGTTTATGGTTCCAATATTTAGACTGACGCTTTAGCTTTTGCCATAAGCTGTTATTTACTCCGAGTGACGTCAATAGGTTGTCCCAGCGCCTCACTTCAATGTGAGCTAGATGAGCAACTACCGCATCTAAACTTCTTTTTTAGCTTTGCAAGCGTCGAGGGATCTCCGTTCTTTCCTAACTTTGTTATTAAGCGGATAAGCCGGTGTGCAGCTTAGAGGGACGAAGACGCGGCTCCTGTGGCTGATATCATACAAATCTTACAGGCGACGTGTTTTCTGATCAGCATAGTCAAAGTGACCCACCAAGAGTCACCTCCGCTATTTTATATGGTGCACATCAGTCTTTTTCATCGATTCTTGCCGTCGTAAGACCTATATGTCCGCTCACCTTCGTGTGAACTCCGCGCTATTCCCGTTCTCAAAGTGTGAAGACATCTTGCTACAGGTAGGCTTGATAACATTAGTTCCAAGGCCGATCAGCCAACTCTATCGCAGCAAGATGAATTCATTTGTATGTCAATTATCACGATGTCGATTTTCTCGTCAAAGGTCATAAATGAGCATATCTTGTATGTTTGTCTATAAGCAAGTTTTAGTGCAACAAGCGTAATATTCAACGTCACTCAATGCTATTTCGAAAGTACAAGTCCGACGTCGACGACTCGCCGTTGCTTCTTATTTGCACCGTCAACAACTTGGCTCATTCTCGTGATCCTGCTTGTACTGCTTCAGGTCAAATTTCGAACTAATCCAAGTTGATGTCATGTTTGTTGGAATCCAAAGAATCTTGAGTGAAAGGCTCAACTATTTGGAATTGTGATGTGTTTAATATACATTGACAATGACATGCCTTAAACCGATACAAAAAAAGAGTAAATGGAGCGTCTTCATTAACCACTTGTGCCGTTCGTAGTGGCTTTCGCTGTGTACGACTACAATAGAGACACCTTATACCCTCTGACCGTCCTTCAACTGCTAATGCTGATGTACTGGTAACGTCAGGCTTTTATATAATGGCTCATTTATTTCAAATGAATCTATGTCAAGATCGAGACAACTTTGACTTCAGACCTGCGTTTCGGTACTCCATGAGATCAACGAGCTATAAGTTATCGTAGACATTTTGACAGCTAAAATATCTCGGCAAAGTGAACAAATTGACGTGTCGCGATTGCTGGTTGACCAGTTGAAGAGCGAGTACGCAAGGCGTAAGCAATCGCGGGAACTCCATCAAATAATTGTTCTTTTGCTGACTTGGTCTTAGCAATTTTTGTAAGCACCTTACGGGAGGTTCCAAAGGACCGTTAGACCCATTCAAACGTACACAATAAAACTCGGCGCTTTCGATACTTGACGACTAAAAATTGCATATTTTGACCTTCTTGATTGATTTTTCATGAATTTTCATGACTGCAAACACTTCGAATCTAGACTCCATTGACTATCGATTCGCATTTTGGAAGACCATAGAGTAAAGTCCAGTGAAGCTTGGGTGGGAACGTCGCTAATTTGAACTGCGATCGATAATCCTAATTGGAGCAGAATGGGTTGAGCGATATTTTATTGGTTTGATGTGTAATTGGAAGCGTTCAAAGATCCAGCAACTGTAAATTATGCTAATCTCATGTCTAAGTAGGACTTTCAAGAAAATCAGTGAGTTTGGAAGCTAAAGTCTTCGTTTTACATTGATTGCAGAAAGCTTTTAGTATTGATCGAACTTATCGTTATGTATGACTAGAATACAAATATATGGACTAAACTCTAGCACCCGTCTCCTCCAGCAATAGACAAACAAGATGTTGATGGGATTAGCGTCAAGATAGTTACAACGACGGAATACAAAAACAGAACCAATGGAAAGGTGGCAATAACAGCACTAGCACACTTGGTGTACCCTCCATAGGCACGAAGTTGTTGTGTATCCAGCTTTTGTCTTGGAAGGAAATACAATCCAATGAAAGCAAATGCGTTGATTCCATAATTAACAAGCATTGCGTACATCACGTCAGTACGTGCAGCAGGAAGGTCCAGCGCAACTTCGCTAGCTTCGAAAAAATTCGAACCACTAAAAGGCCCTTGCCCATTCGTGTTAACGAAAAATTTAACCGAAAAGTACAAAGACAACATCAATCCAGACATAGCACCTTCCGATCCTTCTTGAAGGATTTCTGTCAATGGAACCATACTAGCTAACCATCCCATGGCAGCTGAGACACTCGTGAAAAGAGTCATCAGACGAAAGAAATACCGATCTCGTAAAATATCTTGTGATACTAAAATGGCGACCACCGATTGAGGAACAATCAAAAGAACTGTTGCCATACCATAGAAAAGTCGCCAGGGTCGATTCATAAAGTATTGACGCCATACTGCCATTGTAACCAACATAGTACCATAATACATCACTTGAATTACAATCAATTTGTCGCCACTAGCTCCAGCCCAAACACTTAGAATAGCTGAAGGAGCGGTAAAAACAATGCCACTAAAGAGTGTAAAGATGCATAAGAAGATCAGAATGTTCCATACTGCCTTTTGTTGCATTATACGCCAGAGAATTTGACCACGAGTGCTCATAGGCGTAGACAGTGAATAATATTTTTCATGCCAAGTTTTCCAAACAATTGGAATTGAGATGACCACGACAATTCCAAACACTAGTAATGATTTACTTCGATGGACCGTAGCGCTTGAACAGACGTATATAATCACGTCTGTTAACATGTATATAGCACATCGAAAGATCAAGTATGTTCCAGTAATGTACCCACGCATGCCTAATGGTTCACGCTGCGTTAGTTCAAGCAGTCGAGTCTGAACACCTATGAACGCTATAACATTTCCAGCACTGGCTAATGTAGCAAATGCGATAATGGTCGCAATTAGACCATTCGACGCACTTTTTTTGTTCAAAGTACCAAGGTATCCATCCACACCGGAAAGAGCAAACAAACTCAATGCTGAAAGTGCTAACCCGATTATAACATACATTTTCCGACGATAGCCAAAAATTGGGTAACTATCCGATACTAATCCAGCAAAAAAACAGAACGACTCTGGTAGAGTCGAGATTCGCAAATTAGCAGCGACTTCAACGGGTGTTAGATCAAAATGGTCATAAAGCATGGGTTGGATAACACCAGAAATACATTCAACCGCAAACGTGAGTGAAAATGTAGCCGCTACAAGACCCGCGCAATCTTTGGAAAAAAGGTTAACTGCGCCACCTTTACGAAGACTTCCATAGATCTCAGCATTATAAAGTGGTTGTCCAGCCCCATTTTCAACAACTGAACTCTCGAGATCATCAGTATCTCCCGAACGATTATGATAAGCATCGTCATTGTAATCATCACGCAAAGGTGATTGAATGTTTTGAAAATCCCCTTTCAAGTCTTTAGCAGAAGTCAAATGCATAGCTGTGTTCACAAGTTGATAATCTTTCAAAATGTTCGTGGTTCACTGGGTCGTACCAGTTGGACAAGATGGTTTGAAGACGTAACTTGAAAGTTCACAAGTGAGAGAGATGCTAAGCAGCCGTAACAAGAAAAAATATGCTTCGTATGTTGACCAGCCCAATCACGTGGTCGATACTCTGACTGCAAGAACTCAAATTGACCTTTGAACACGTCATAAAGAACACTATTGTAGCACTTTACCGTTCTCATAAGAAAATTTGGGCAGAGACGAAAACAGCAGCTTGGGCTAAAAAACGTTCAGCTATTCCAAGACTAATGCCGCTGGTTTCTTTCACATCGATCATATGGGATTTACACTACTCACATATACATAAATAGTAAAAGAATAAGGGCAGGAAGCAGTAACTTAACGGACCCCATTAGCTGCACTCCACACTTTTACCACTTTTAACTAACTTCTACATGACAAGTAAAGAACATAGACTTGATTAAATGGTAGTAATCAAAGCTTCAAGGTGCTCACAATAAAGCGATCGATCTGAGAATGTCAACCTTATGTGTTAAAAACAAATATTTGTTTTATCTAGTGTAAACTCGAGACGTTGTTCATCCCAATTTATTGTCAGAATCTAATGCTATTTGTTAGCAGTTGGATCGGATGCTGATGTTTTTCTCGCGAATACTTGATTTCCAGCTTACGGACGGTAAAGAAGATAAAGATTCAGATGGTAGCTAACGTCATCATAAGAATTTAATGTCTTGTAAAGAAAGCTAGCGATGTAAACGCCTGGCGGACGGTGTGCTTGGTTAAATGTCAAATTATTGAGGGTTCGCTCAAGAAAACTTCTCGGTCGCATTTTACAATGATATGCGAATTCTCTGCATTAAAATACTCGTAACGCTGAAGATGATATCCCATCTGTCAGAATTGAAGATGACGCATCCCTGGTCATAAACAATAGGCTCTATTAAAGATCTTATTCTAGCAAAGAAAGAAAACATCGGGTCCTATTTCGTGGAGCATCAGTTGACGATTGAAATTCTATGTAATCTTTTTAGCAAGTACAACCCAAACAGAGTTGAAATGCATTTTCTTGAAAATTGTTAAAACTACCTCAATTTCGTCGTCTTTGTCGGCATGACAGAGACAAATCAATGTATCAACTCGTTGACACTCTGTAAAACAACGTCGTCACTTAGATTATGGTCAATGAAGATGAGATTGTCAAGAAATGGTGTGTTTCAATGCCGACTAAACAGCATATTTCATCGCACATTATTCATTTAGAACCTGACGTCGTCGGATGCTGTCATCACTTTTCAGCGAATTTGTATTTTTAATAATCGGCTATTAATTGAAATTGAACTTGTGTCAACTGATGCAAGCGAATACTCGCTGTTTTACGACACCATCGAAATCGTCTTAGATCTTGAGGAAATTTACGTCTTCCTCCGTTTCGTTTACTATTGATGCTATGAAGCAACACGAAGTTTTGTGAGAAATATGTTTTCTGTTGATTTCTCATATCAAGCATTATGTCAACGTTGACTGTTTTTGTTGCTAATCTTTTAATCAGCTTGAGTGATATTACCCAGCAATGGTATTACAACCTCCACGGAGATCTTTTTCGAGCAATTTTGTTTTCTAACAAAAATTGTGATAATTGGATACGTTGAAACTCACCTTTTCTAGCATTTGACGTATCAGCAGGAGTGAGTTTCACAATAATTTCATACTTTCTAACGCCGCAGCTTTCTGCTGGAGACTCATTTTCTATATATCTTCTCATAAATTCTTTCTCAACTTTTGTCACAAGTCTAGTGCTGCCTTCTCTCCTATTGTCATCATTACCGTGTATTGAATCTATCGCCCGTAGTACGAAGCAACGCTATCTCCTATTAAATTCATCAGACAGACAATCACACTTATCGTGTTGGCAAACAAAAGACAATTGTGTAAGTCGCACTTGGCTTAAATGCCCACAGCAAATCATTAAAAGTCGACTTGTGTCTCGATACAACCTTGTGTAGTATTGACCACAATTGGAGGCTTCTCAGCTTTATGCTTCATCCACACTCGTGTATGTTGGTTGGTCATTTTTGACAGACATGCCATTGCCAGTATACATCTAATCGAAGGAAATTTAATTCTTACTGTGAATGACATTCTACCTATTGTTCATATTGTACTACTAAGTCATCAATTGACTTTAAATATAATTTTAAATCTAATTCAAAAACTAACAATAAAAAAGTTTTCAAGTATTAAATTGAAAAGAACCTCCATTACGTGATGTTATCATAATTAACTTTAAAAGTACTATCTCCACACTGCCCTAGACATAGTTAAGTACATGCATCCAGTTTACGTAAATAAGATGAAGATAATATTGCATAAAATATCCAATATAATATTATAAGTGCATACTACGCGATAAAAAGTATTACATTCCTCATTACCAATCATTACTATTACTCAACTACTATATTTTTTTCTGAAATCTTCGTTAATTTTACTATTTTTATTTACTTAAGGTAAACATTTTGCAAGTAACCATCCTTGCGAAGGATACATACTCGAGAAAAGGGTGAGAAAAAATTCGTCTTGATCTGCAAGACTTCGACGTGAATCGCGAACAAAGTCCACAATTCCATCCACTCGTCTTCCTAATTGAAAAGCTTCTTTACCTTGAAGCATCGTCTCGAGTGCTTTCAAATGTTTTTCCGTCGTCTTTGTTAATTTAAACGAAATCCGATCATCCACTCGCAATGGTGCACCATTGCGCGTTTGAAGTCGTAAGAAAATTCCAACTGCTAAGCACGAAACGTGAAACTCAATTCCATATTGAAGTGCTCCACCCAAGCCTATGGCCTTCATGATCCCATTATTTCGACGTGTGTGGCCCAATTCTAGTAACAAATCGCACAATTGACGCAGCATCTGTTTCTTGAGCGTAGATGGAAGCACTTCTGCCAACGGTTTACACACAAAATTAGTCACTTCAGCCGCTAGAAATAACAATTTCATTTGTGCAAAAGCATTAGCTCCGAATCGAGCACGTTCCATCCAGCGCAAAAGTTTCGTCAAAAGCGCTAGACTCAATGCTTCAGTCAAGACAGGAGCTCGTCGAAGCTGCTGGAGGAATAAAACTTGGAGCGTCAAGAGTTTGCCTTGTTCTAGACAAGCTGCTTCAAATTCGTCGCTACTTAGCTCAGGCACTTGTAATCGTAATGCTAAAGCATCCCACGTGCCTTTCCGTTCCTCTATTATCCACTTTTCAATGCTCCGTTCAGCAACTTGACTCATTACATGAACCGAAGCAAGAGCCCGCCCACACGCTGCCAAACAAGCCAATTCACCGCCACGAAACGACAAGAAACTCCATAAAACCTTTCCGATTGACAAGCCAATAGCTTCAGCAGAAGGTCGAGCAACACCTTTGGTTGTATCACAAAACACATCCTCCTTGTTGGTGGACTGAGAGGTTTTCACATAATTAAGTTGCAAAGCCTTTTGACTCGACGCAAAGTCGCGAATGAGCGCGTCAATCTCTACAAATACCACATTGCCACACTTGTTCCAGTTCATAGCACCTTGGGACGACGTCGTACCATTTCCACTTCCTGTCTTCGTATTGCCTTGCACCTGCTGAAAGAAAGTTTCAACTAATGCCAGATTGCAAAAGCTCAAGACGCCTGCTATTGTACTTGTCAGCTCTTCTTCCGAAATATTATCTATGCTTTCAAAGCACTGGGCTTCTTCACTTGACGCACTCTCAGGCTTGTACAGCTGTACAATCTCGTCCAATTTCTCATACAAGGCCGTGCAATTAGCTCCGTACAAAACGATCAGCCAACCAGCGTGATCCAAGCGGGAGCGATTGTCAATTATGCAGCCACTATTGGTCTTTTCAAACACATTAAAGAGTAGGTTTAAAAAGAGATTCACACGCTCCAAATTCTCTCGTGTACTCAACTTATCATGACGTAGCGTCGTGATCTGACCCAGCAATCGAAGCACGAGCTGAAGTCTTGTAAATGCATCTTGCATCATAGCAGCACTTGGAGAAACCGGGCACAGTTCAGTATGCACAAGATCAGATCGACTCCGTAATGGCTCTTTCAAAGCTTCCAACGTAAACTGCTGCAGTGTCTCCAAGTCTCTCATCGTCATTTTCCATTTACTCCAAAAACTAGACTGTTGTTTGATAAAATTGACAAAATAGGGAGGCAAAACGTTCGTCGACGCATGATGTGACTGAAGTTGAAAATGCGGCAAATCTAGCACAAGTTCCACGCACAATTTCGCAAACACCAGGAGAAATGAAGAGCACACACTCTCGCTCTGAGCTTCCAGCCAAGCATCCGTGGCTTTCCAGGTCGTACGACAGAGTATATCACGCACTAGCCATGAAACAAATGGATACGGTGACAACGTTGATGCACGAGGAGGTACCAACTGATTCACATCAGCGACGACTCCACTTAATTGCTGTCTCTCCGTCTGGATAAGTTCACGCATCTGTTGCAAGATTTCGAGCGTCAAACACCAATGTTCCCATGCCAATCGCGTAACAAATTGATGAAAGTGTTTGCAAATATGCGTCGGAGCATGTGGGACCAGCACAAACGAGTAAAATGCCCAAATTTGCGAAAGTTTGGCAGGTAATGTCAACTCGCTGCCTGAAATCCTGGTGGAGTTCGAAGGTTTGAGATACTCGGAGCAGGTGGCTACGAAGCACGAACAGATCGTCGTGCCAGTCGACAGTGTGTCCTGTTCAGACCACGGAGCGGCGATTACTGAACCTTCGGTGGTTGTTGCTGGTTGATACAATGTCGATAGCAATGGCTCAAAAAATAATACAATCAAAGACCACTGCTGAGACTCTGGCGCTGCGCGATAGCAGATGGTGAATAAGTCTAAGAAACTCTTAAGCACACCAAGACGCTGCCAGTACACAATTGGGTGATTTGTTAAAGCCACAGAATCCGGAACAGATACCTCTCTTCGGAATTTATCACTGACAGCACGACTAGTGGGTAAAGCTCCATTCTGCCATCGTAATGATGTCATGTGCTGGCTCAAAAAAGATACACACGTCTCGATCTGCACAAATGGAAGCTCCTTCCACGTCGCCAGTGGAATTCCAATTACACCTTCCCACACTAAAGCATCAACTGGTCGAGACAAAGCAGTCAATCTTGACGCACTAGAATCTCCGTCACCACAAAATGTCAAGTCTCCACTATTTATGCTGGACGTTTGAAAGCGATAATCGTCGTGAACACCAACCAATGCATGCACCACTTTTTCGACATGATCTTCTAGATGCGTCGAGCAAAGTAACTGCAGAATTTTGGCGTACACACACAACATTTGGTCTAAAGGTTGTGGTACAGTCATGTCTTTTGTTCTTCGATCAGTTCCCACAACACTGCGATCAGCAGGAAAATGCTGAGCAATATCGCTTAGAATCATGCACAGCACCGTGTCTCGATCAAATTTTGTTGGTCGAAAACTCGTACTTTGTAACCAAGAGTGAAAATCAAACCGCTTAAGCAACATGAGCTTCTCTTCGTCTGAAATGCTCGACAAACTGCTTGGACTCATCAACTTAGCAAACATCTCTACAAACCTTGAGGGTGCGGTAGCTGGAAAGAAACATTCACTCAGTAAGATAATACGAGAATGGTCTTGTAGCATGAGTTCTAATAGTGTACACGTCTCTCGTTCATCGAGACACACAAAACTCTGTCCTAATTGCTTGATGGACCGCCATAAAGCTTCGCGTAAAGGAGGCACCATTCGAGAAAGTTTGGTATCTAATTCGGTCAAAAGACGAAACCATTCTAGTCCTTTGCTGTGTAATCGTTCGAGTTCTTGCTCCGTCTTTTGAATCGGCGTCAACTCTTCACTCACCTCTTTCTCCTCCTTTGCTTCAATCACGCACATATTTGATGCTTCGTTCTCTAGCGTAGACTTTGTACGCTGCAGCTTTTCAAGCTCCACCCCAAGCGTACGTACAACTTGATCAATGAGCAAAATTTGTATCGTCAGCGTAAATTCGTCGCTATTTAGATGCAAGAACTCTTCGGCAGCTAAAGAAGGAGACAAAGAGACCGCGACGTCTTCGTTTACGACATGACTATCATCATTCGACACCATAACATTCGAACGTACCATCGAGCGAAAATCACAGCGCTCAGTCTGAGCACGAATCGATTGGATCGTATCATCCATGCGCGAATCCATCATCCATTCCAAAAACTCGAACTTGAACGCTGCAGGATTATGACAATTTGGTCCTTCTGAGCATGACAAACACTGCGTTACCGTCCGAGCTTTACTAATGTAAAGATGCGAGACACTATCAATCATCTCGGCATCTAATGCCACTAAAACAGACAAATTTTCCGAAAATGACATCGCAATGGTCTTTAATCGGGCTTTGTTTAGGGGAGTGGATGGCGTGACGACGCAACGATCTTTAGTAAGGAATACAGACACTGTCGGAAGTGGTGTCAAGGTCAAAGAGCCACACAACTTCGGCTCTAAAGACAACGGTCGAATCGTGAGGCTGTTAGGACCTGCGAAACCAAAGCTACTGTGTCGTCTAGCAGCTTCCGATGCTTCTTCTACAAATGCAAAATCGTCCTCTTCACCCATTGAAGCTAGTGGTATCGCTACCGACAGCAAATTGCTGTCCGAATTTGATTTTCGACTTGTCCGTGTCGAAGAATAGTCAAATCCGCAGTATTGAGTCCACAACGGCAAGTCCGACCACTTTGGTTTCGAAAGCGAGTTAAGCAGTATGTCACTAAGACGCAAAACATCGCGAAGTCGCTCTACTTCGTAGTGACGAGGTAAACCATTAAGCTCATCTTCCTTGAGCCACTGATTCGGATTTTTGTCTTCTATCCATGCGTCCATGGCTGTGTATAATTGAGACAAAGCCACAAAGTGCGCATACTTCTGCTCCTTAACATCCGTCGCGATAGAACCAGAATCATTCGAGCTGCTTGAAGTCGTGAGTACAATTTGAGCCTGAGAAGAGCAGAATGTCACAAGTTTTCGCAGTTTGAGTTGAAGAAGAGCTCGTAATTGCACACGTTTGGACCTTCGCTTTTCTTGACGATCGAGGAAATGGTGACCAAATACGTAAGAGCCACTAGCCGCGAAGTACAAGGCGAAAAAGACCTGCCAGTAGATAATCTGTAGTGGCTCGGACTCTGGGAGATCTAGACAATAATTGCACCAGCGATAAATCTTATATTGCGAGAGCGACTCCAAACTCGTGTGTCCCAGTGCAAAGGGGCCTTCAGTAAGCAATAAGGACTCAGAGCTCCGTTCCTCTGCTTCGTCTATACTCATCCCGTCTCTTACAGCACAAAGGACTGCAGTCAATTTCCCTTCCGTCTGCTTCATCTTCTCGAGCTTTTTCATTGTTTTCGGCTCAAACTTGGTCATTAATTGTCCCATTCTAAGAAACAATGGCGCTTCCTTTCGAGTTTCGACCAGTAAGCACCAAAGAGACAAACACGAACAGCCACTGACGTACTGCGCCACATCATGCGAGCCTCCAAAGAGTGATGCAAAAGTTGCTGAGACAGCTCCTGCTGGAAGAAAACTCATGACAATGACAGCTTCATCCTCTAAAAACTGATGCTTGAATTCTGCTTCGTCTTTCCTTCTTGCTACACGCTGGCAAAAGGCGTCATAAGCGACTTCAATTAACGTCAACAACTCATATAAAACAGATGCAGTACTGTTTGTCTTGGTCAATGTATTGTGGTACGCCATCTCCATGCTACAATGCAGCATCACGTCCAAAACATGACGAAAAGCAGCATTCTCGTACCAAAATGGCACTTGCAACAACGCTTTGGCCCAAAATTTCATCGACTGTGTTAGAGCTGTATCATCAACTGAGTATTCAAATGATCGTCGAATTAAAGCACAGAGCGAATTGGTCGCCCTCGAAAACTCACTGCCGGAGACCAATGATAGATAAGCTGTTGTCGCAGTTAGCGAAGAGTTTCGAATTGATAACGCAGCACTCGTTGTAGAAGCAGCCGATGGCGAAAGAGCTCCCATACCATTCTCGCCTCCTAGAGCTGATGAGATCCACGACATGGCTCCGTGAAACAAAGCAGATGTAGTGACGGAGACAGAACGCGACTGAGGAAAACACTCGTTTAAAAGAGCAGGGAGAACTACGGGATGTAAGAACCGGCTGCATTCCCGCACAAAGTGCAGTTTGGCTAGAATCCTATCTTTCGCCGTGCTCTCCCATCCACCGATGTAACCTTTGCTTAGTACTTCTTGTAACCAATGTAGTTCATCACTGTTTATGTACGAATATTTATGCAAAGCGTTCAAAAGGCTTAACATCTCATCCGTTGACAGTGCTTGCATCGCTGCCATACATACTTCTAGCTCATTGTCGCACTCTAGCAACCTTTCGTCTTCTAATGAGGCATCTGCTTCAAAACCTCCCTCGTTAGTATCTGTCTCATCACAACTCATCGGCTTTGATCCGTTCAATCCCACAGCTCTTTTCCTTCTACACTCTAATTGTGACAAGATCGGAATCAAATTCTCAAGCACTTTAACAGCAGCAGAAAACAAATCGTTTTTCAGCAACTCTAGTAAAGGATCCCATCGATCAAGACGATCACTAAACACGAACGTCGTTAATTGACAAATGACATAGGCAACAATCGGCTCTGTCCTTGAAGCAACCGTCGAGTCTATGCCCTTTTCTTCTGAGGTGTAAGGTGTCAAAAGCACTCGACTTTCTTGTTGTATCGGAGCGCCGGTACTTCCACCTATCGGAGCTTCATTTTTCGCTCGATGACTGTCATCAGCTCCATAACAAGCCACCTCCTCTTCATAAGACGAAAAAAATGGAAATACTTTACGAGTAGGAAGTACACGCAGCGCTGACGCGCCAGCAAACCACCGACGCAACGTCAAAGCTTCTCTTGATCGATCAAGTCGAAGATTAATAAGTGGCAGCAACGGCTCGTGCGTTCTTGGAGAGTGAAATTGCAACTTCAGCATCAGCTTCCAGCACCATTTTTCGAAATCAACTGTGTCACTTAACCACAACGCACGACGGATTGACTTAGCGATAGACGTGACTTCTAATTTCTGTGTAGATTCACTCCCAGAAAGTGCAACGGTCGTTTCTGGATCACTAGCTCGCTCATTTCGTGTCTTATACAATACAAGCGCTTCCGCGACCATAAGGGCTACTTGACGATGCAGCAAAGCGTCAGTAAACAATCGCTGGTACTTGACATCGTACTCCCAATTGATGTGATCCAGTAGAAATCGAGCCAAAGCACTGCGTGGTGCAGACGTATCCTCTAGCAATAACCAATCTTGTAAATTTAGTAGATCTTGAGGAGTTGGCATCCAACGATTGATTGGAAACGTCTCGAATATATGAATCCATGTGGCTGCACACTTGTGAAATTTGAAGAGAAGCGTGATTAGAAGAGATAAAACCCAAGGATGAGCCAGACAAATAGTACTTAGCGGTCCAGCAGCCCGTTCACCATTCAACCCTAGAGCTTGTTGACAGGACTCAATCGTAAATCCTGCTATAAACAACTCGTGCACTGCAACTGTAACAAGATCATGATGTTCATTCGGATTATCAGCCTTACAAGTGGCAGCAAGACTAGCCACAGCGTTTAATAGCTGTAACGCACTTTCAGTATCCGACTCGATCAGACTATAGAGATGTTGACGGGCTAAAGCTCGCGTATCGACACCCTGAGAGGTTGGCTTACCGATAAATTGCATCCATCCAGACGCTGTTTTCGCCTCTAGCGGTAATGTTGAAAGATTAAATAGCAATAAAGCCAATATATCCCACTTTGCTAGTTCAGATAACGAGTCAAATGGAAATAAACTTAAACTTTTCCAAGCCACACGATTGCAATCAATTGCCATCAAACCCTGTAAACTCGTGAGAAACAACTGATCAAATAGTGTCGGATAAAATGCGGCGTCTGCATCCATTCCAGACCCAGGGAGCTCCGCTGCGTCGCAAAGTAACTGCCCTAAAAGCTGCGAAATTCGTGTTGGAAACTTTTCAAATTCTTGAAAAGTTCGTAAACTATGAGTCAACTCTAGTACGAGCGTAAGGGCACGACTAAAACACTTTTTCACGTCGAGTGTGCAGCGAAACAATTGGCCGAAAGCAAAAGTATTAGGAAATTGATTCAAAACAGCCACAAAATCGTCATCGGAAAGAAAATGCCGGTCCAACATCTCGGGATTCTCCAAAAGCACCCAATCCGTTGACACTACGCCTTTTTTTTCACTGACTCCAATCTCTGCACTTTTAATATCTTTTGTTCCGTTCTGTGATCCGCTCGATACAATGGTGGCCATTCGTCGCAGCTTTTCAGGATAAAAAACTAGATGTATCATCGCAATATAATGGTCAACAAGATCTTCGCTCCATTCATTTCGTACGGATCCATCGGTCCGTACCATTGCACGCGGAAATTGAAAGAAGCGTAGAAACCACGACCGCTCGTCGGTGGAGATTCGGGGTAAATACATCACGTGCATCAAAAGATACGGCATATTTTGTAAGGTTTTCAAACGCAGTAGACTTTGGAGACAAGTAGAAATCCACTTTTGCAGCGACTTTCGAAATCGCAAAACACTTGTGAACCACTCGTTTGACTTCGTCGAGACGGACGACGATGGAATGTATAGCACAACTTGGCAACCTGTACAAAGTTTGCACCACTGGTTCAACTTCATAGGTGAATTTACACTTCCACAAGCATAGCATCGAATCTTTCGCTCCATTCCAGCATTAACGCTGTACTGATTTTTGGACTGTGAGTTGTGCCATATAAGCTCTCCACGATAAAACGACTGCGGTACACGACCGAAGACTCCGTCTTCACCTAACGTTACTTTCTTTTCAAAAAAAATAAGCACATCAATGCAGTACTTCAGATGATCCACGGAAGTCGCAAGCGGTGAGTTTTGAGGCAATCCGTCGTAAAAAGTAATGTTTTCTGGGACCAGATCCAAATCATCTAACGCATCGCCACTGCCAGACGGTGGGCACATTTTGTTCACATGACTCACGAGATTTGGCTCATGCAACACACTGTTCAAGTACTGCTCCACGTGAAAGTATGAGATCGCTCGGTCAAATATGTGAATGGACGCTTCCACAGTTCGTAGTTGCCGAAGTTGATCCAGATGCGTCTTGAGCCTTTCAAGCTGCGAAGTTTCTAGCTTTGCCGTCTGAAATTCCAAGTTTTGCTCAATCTCCACATTGTCGCCACAACGCTTGGATGACGCCATACGCTTCTTCTCTAGAGTCCACACTAGCAATTGAATTCGATATAAAATCTATCAAATACCGATACTTTTAGTTGTGCATGAATGTACGTACAATCTTACCTTTCTTCACCAAAACATCGATTTTATTCTTGGATTCAACCATCATTGACATGGCTTTGTGTAGAATGTACTCGGCAAACAAGTATCGTTCAATTCGTGCATACAATTCACCCTTGTTCGTTTCAATATGATGCATTTTCATCTCTTGCCGCTTCTGAGACGCTTCAGCTCGCATCACATTTATTTCGTAGTTTCGAAATGGCTCCAGCTGTACACGAAGATAATCCTTTTTCAACAATTGCGCATAATTGTGTGGTTTCTCCTTGATTTCCTCAATAGCTTTCGATTGCGGTGGAATTGATGGATATATGTTATGTTTTCCCGCTAATTTCGATGATTGCAAACTGGCAATTCGTATCGCAGCACTTGCATCTTCTACAGTCATCAGAGTTGAAGTTTTAGATGAAAGTCTCAGTCCAGGACTCAGCTTTTCAGCATTTGCGACTCGATGCAGTTTTTTTGACACTGTAGGCGACAGAGAAGGCGCGGACGGTGTTTTACTGCATTGCACCATTTCTGGTTCATCCGTATCGTCAATTTCCAAAGGTGCAGACGGTATTTTCGTCTCTTTTGTTGCAAGGACCGTAATTTCATGGAAAGCACGAGGCATTGTCGATCGAGTTGGTAAGTGAGGTTGCAATAATATTGAGGATTGTTTTGAACTCTCGTCAAAGTTCGATCCATCTTCATCCTCGAGCATTGGAGCTGACGGAGCATTCGCAATCGCTTTTTGACTACTAAGATGTAGCAAATCATTCATCTGACTTGACTCGTGATATTTAATCTCATCCTTTTCTAGTCCTTTGCTGTCATCAAGACTTTTCAAGTCGATTACTGTGCTTAACAAAGAATCATCTACCCCCTCTGTAGCCTGTGATAAACCCAACATTTCGTCTTTAGTGCTGTACAACTCTCCAGATCGTTGACAGACGTCCAAGTCAACACTCACAACCTTCTCACCGGCATTTTCATCAATTCCATGATAATCTAATGTGTGTTTCTTCTCTTCCTCCTGTGATGTCGTGATAACTTTTACCCGCTGTGGACGTGGACGTACAGCTTCCATATCGTAAAATCCCGAGAATAAAAATTAATTTGGAGGTTTTACCGTCTTCAACTAAAAATTAGTCGTTCTCGTCGTCTCAAGCTTTTAATGGCACGCAATGAAAAGATCAATTGAAGAAATTTCGTGCCTTGTGTAGAATCGAAATGATGTAGATGAATAGCTGAGTGAATGTCGTGCTTGCGGCGTAGTCAGCGACGACTTGGTGGAATATTCTTCGCCGTTTTTCTTTGACGTAAAATTGACTGGGCTTTCTTCGAAAACGGAAGCTGATTGGCGAATTAAAATAGAAACTTGCCTAGTATTACGCTGCCTTTTTTAGACGAATCACAGCATGCATGTCGCAGGTGCTACATAAGTAAATAGATTTTTTTGAAAAACTGATAGAAATTGACATTCGCTGGCGCTTGCTCCAAAGTCGTGAAGCTGGCAGCATAGGCTCTGATAGAGCTGCGCTTGCGAAAACGCTCTTGCGCCTTCTAAAATATTGAATTTAGTTTACTTTGCATCTCAACAAAAGCTGGTGGCTGATGCCAAGATACATACTAAATAAAATGTAAATTTTGGTGGCACAACAACTAAAAATCGAAGTGTAAGGCAACATTTTAATACAGTTTTTCACATAGCAAATATCAAGTTTGATAGATTGCACAACAGTCGTCATGGTGCTTGAGATCCTAGCTATCTATTTAAGTAAAATCTTCAAAAGCCCTTGCATTGTTTGGTAGCTTGCTCTAGAAACCATTTTATTATTTCAGTATAGTTGCAAATTTGCCTTTAAGCCCTCAAGTCAATCTTTTCCCTCTAAGTCGAGACTGCTTTTTCTTCCTTGTCGCACAAGCGTGTATTACGTATTTGAGGGACTGTTGTGAACAGCGCTCTTTAATATTCTGATAAAAATGAGCCTGTGTCAATCCTAATGGTCCACAGTGATTTTGTCGCGATTGAATATAAAAGAACAAAATTTATTATTAGGGTCAATCGTTAAGGCTTCAGCTCCAATGCATTCAAACCTTTTCAATTGCGTGTCCGGCATCAAGCCCAAATCGATTTGGCGATCAATCAAGCTCCACTCCTTCACATTGTGTCGTAATATCCACACGTAGAGTAGAATACGAGTCAGATTTTTATCGTGATATTGAAATGAAGTTGGAAATTTGATCATCACACAACGTGAAAAAGATGATTTAGGTAGTACCATTTCAGAAGCCGTTAGAGAGAGTATTGTATACGAAAGCGCATGATTTATTATGCACAACAAGTTCTTCTAAACAGTTCGACAACGAATGTCGGCACTATAGTGTGTCATTACAATTTTTCCGATTGAGTAAACGAAAGTCTGTGCAGCCAAGCTCACCATTGTGCTCCTAACACACCAAAAAAACAATCGTGAGTTTGTATTGCCGCGACGCACCATACGATATATGACGACGATGAAGGACAAATGATCTTTTTTAATCAATATCGGAAGCAAACATTTGGATTGATACGTTTGCATGGTGTTGCTATATAGCATGTCGTCTGGAAGTACGTTACAACAAACTGTCGAAGATCACGTGATTCGTGCGCCGGCAGCAAAATGACGCTTGACAGCGATGCTTATCTTTGAGCAAAATGGCCCTGCATATGGCGGCCAGTACAGACACCGAGTAGATCTCCAACCCGGTTCAATCGCCACAACCACCACATTTTATAGAAGCATGTCTGTGATATCGAATCTGCGCCAGGAAATGTTGGAACCAACTTTCTCACCGTCAAAATGATGATTGAAACTACTGTCAGTAATGAGTCTTCCAACAGCTTCTAAACTTGCAAAAGGGGGCATTTAAGCGTCATATTCTGCTGTAAGTGCGCTGATATCGAAAAGCTGGCTTGACGCAATACAGAAATATCACGGCTCGATCAGTCTTTGCATGACGTCGTAGCTGGCAATACGGAAGTAGAATAATTATCAAGTTAAACGAGCTCAAGCTCGGCAGAAGCCATCTCGACTAATTTTCTAGCTTCAAATATATTGTCGCCCTCTGCTTCGACTCTGTATGCCCGACTTCCTCGTAGATATTCTATTGTAGCGTCACTGATTGTCATTCGTTTTTGCTCCATTGCGAGACCAATTTGACGTTATCACGTTTCGAAAGATTACGACTATCGAGTTCTCAAAATTCTAAAAATCTCAGGATGCGCTTTCTTTATCATTTTAAGTGTATCAACATATCATTTCCTCATTGAGCACATACGACACATCTACATCAACTGAAATGCCCTCAGCACGCCTTACGTCAATTCTCCAGCTTGGACACTTAGTTTATCGATATTATTGATCCTTCTGTATTCTCGACCGCGTCTGCTTCAAAACCGCATTTGTTAATCGAACAGCTTCAGACATTATCGCAAGCTATAATATGGTCTTAAAATGACGCGCTGACCAAGCTCAATCACGACCAAAACCAGATGATGGCATGTCAAACAGCGACAAAGTTACAACATCCGAGTGTGACACTAAACAAGCAGCTCTGGCTTTCATTAGTCCTGCATATCAGGTTTTAAATGTCTATACCTTTTCAGAGAGAGACCTCAAATGCGCCCATTATCATCGATGCTTCCTCTAGGCAGCATCATTACTCTGAGTGCCTTAGGAGACTCTGTGTGATGTAAATTTGTATGAACGCCCAAGAGTAGATGGTAGCCTAGCTAGAAGGATGTTTCACATGTGATCAAGGAAATGCTTTATATCCGAATTGTTCATGATGGCCGGATTTAGCATAGCTAAATAAGGTTACGCTTTAAACATGATGTGCTCGCATTTCTTTTCAGATGTAAAGTGTATCGCTCAATCATTTCAAGCAACGACCGAACGCTGCTTAATGTAGCGAGGTTGCAGCTTAGCCTTATAAACCGCATACAGTGTTGGTTTATGTGAAGTACAGGATCAAGTAAACACCTTCCAACCACTACGCACTCGTGTGTATTTTATCTGCAGCTTACAATCACAAGGCACATTTTTATCCTGGCTTAAATCCATAACGTCTCGCACTTGGCGCAAGATGCTCAAGCTCGTCGAATAAATTCGTTGACTCTTTTATGAGGTCTCCCAATATGACATTAGCCATTGAGATTGTATTGACAGCCCCTACTGGTGCTACATACGATATATATATTATAGAGGCGTGCACAGCGTTATTCAGCATAATATTGATGACGGGGGGCCATTCGCTCCTACACCGCGGCCTCATTGCGCCAGCGCTTCTGAATGATCTTCGATCATGCGCAATTACATCAAGATAAGGACAAGTTACCGAGAATTTTAGTGAATTGAGCATCACAAGAATACTTGTAGTGGATCACATCTTGCAAAACGAGCAGTGATTGCGAAGAGCGCCACCCCACGGCAAAATCTTACGCGCTTTATCCAGTATTACAGCTTCTTACTCACTCCAAAAATCTCGTCTTGTAGCTGAGTCTTACGTAAGGAGACTTCTGTCTGACCAGAGCTTAGTGCTTACTGAGCTCTACGAGGTGGCTACTTACATGAATATTAGGAGCCTCGAGAAACAATCTTGTTTCGATAGTATCATCGCAAGGCAAAATTACATATTGAGCGCCCATTGACATTTGCTTGAGCGCAGCCGCAGCCCAAAACAGATCAGAAGCGTCACAGACGACGTCAAATGGCCACGTCAACTTAAAAATGAGAAACTGTGGCATAAATGAGGCCTCGCGGCCCAACTCCCCGTGATACGTGACATCCTTATTGAAATATCGGAAAGTGGTTTAACGTTGTAGTTGGTCAAGTCCTTCACTTTTTTAATTCGTCTGGAATGAAGATACTGGCTTGTATGTGATTGTCATGATTTCATGAAAATTACCCCTTGCCGGCACGTCTCGCAAAGTTTAATGGGTATGTTCTCATCCGATATCCCCGGTCTTGCGTGAATATATCGTCGAAACGAGTGTGTGCGTCGAAACGATGCAACCTGATCACCTGCTCTACCAAGCGATTGACAGTCACTGTGGATAAACAAACTCCTGGAGCATCCCGTGCAAAGAAGGAGACAGACATAACAGTATCTGATGAGCAGTTAATGTTACCAAAATTCAGGTCGAAAGAATTGAACAAGGTTCAATCACCATGCTGTTCGGCAGCACATTCTTCCTATGAAACAATAGTTGCCCCAAAATTTTAAATGCATGTAATTTATTTGCTACCTGTCCTTGCCTTGATGACACAAAAAAGTGTCGTCAAGAAGATTATTTTTATCTCTTGTCGACTCCGTTTCGTGTTCCCACGGCATAAAGCAATCATGACGTCTCATTGCTTCAAAGGTAATGAACATTGTTTCATGACGATGCGTTTAATTTCGGGTGAAGGTCAATTAATGACACATTTCCTAATCCAAAGGCAATGCACTTGATCGGTCTCTTCTCATCAAGTGATAGTATCTTTTTGACGGTTAAAGACGCGTCGGATCTTTGAGGATAGCTGCCCACTTCTCGCACTCGGTGCTCGGCGAGTGGTTTCAATATT